GGAGCAGTGGTGCCGGGCCCTGGGCGCCCGCCTCGTCGTCATCAACACCCCCGCCGAGCAGGTGCGACGGCACTGCTGCGGGAAGACCGCAGCACCACAGGGTGCGGGGCCTGAGGGCTGAGGGCTCTTCTGAGGGAAGCTTCCAGCCTGGGGGTATGGAGGGGGTAGCCTGGGAGGCAGGAAGTGGGGGCAGTTGAGGGCACTTGTCGGAAGACCACAGCATGCGATGGGGTTTGTGGTGGGGGGCAGACCTGGCTCTAGCTGGGGGCACTGTTGAGGGAAACCCGCAGCAATGGGCGCAGGCCTTCCTGACCCCCACTCCCGCCTTCCCCCCCCAGCAATTCGTGCAGCAGCACACAATACCGACCTTTACCTGGATCGGCCTCAGCGATGCCAAGGGGAAGTGGGAGTGGGTCGATGGGACCCCCTACATCTTGGACCCCCGGTGAGCCCCTATTCTCCCTAATCTGGGTTAAACCCATCTGGTCCCTAATACAGTTTCAACACCTCTGGAAACTAATCTGGATTAAATCCAGGCAGATAGTCATCCAGATAAAACTCAGCAGGACACTAATTTGAATTAAATCAAGGTTGCCCCTAACCCAGATTAAATCTAGGGGGTCCCCAAGTCTGGATAAAATCAGATTAAGACTAGGCAGATACTAATCTGAGCTAAAAACATTCAGACACTAATATGGATTACATCCGGATGGCCCCTAATCCTAATTTAATCCATGTAGCCCTCTATTTCAGATTAAAAATAGCAGTACCCTAATCCGGATTAAATCCAGGCAGTCCCTCATTTGGATAATACCCAGGTGGCCCCAAATCTGGATTAAACCCATCAGAGCCCTAATGTAGACTAAATCCAGGCAGATACTAATCTGGATTCATATAATCAGGACACTAATATGGATTAAATCCAGGCTGCCCCAAATCTGGATTAACACCAGCAGTACCCTAATCCATATCAAATCCAAGCAGCCCCTAATTCGGATAATACCCAAGCATCCCTGAATCTGGTTTAAACCTAGTAGGACTCTAACCTGGATTACATCCAGGCAGCCCCTTACTCAGATTAAGTTCAAATGGACCCTTATTTAGATTAAATCCAGGCCAACACTAATCTGGATTAAATTCATTTTAATCCAGTTTTAATTTATTTTGGATTAAGTCCACCTGGATGCATATTTGGATTCAATCCAGCCTGTCCCTAATGTAGATTAAAATCATCTCAGCCATCACATGGACTGAGCACAGTCCAGCCTCAACCTGACCAAGATATGGATGAAACCCATTTTAATCACTTTTTAATCCCAACCACATTGAGTCCAGATAGATCCAAATCCATATTAAACCAATCCAGTCTCAATTTGAGCCTAATCCCAGGCAGAGGGGGTAGGGGTGGGGGGTGGGTCTCCAGCTCCAGACTCCTGGGTCCCCCACCTTGCCCAGGTGGGATGTGGGCGTGGCTTGATGGCCCCTCCCCCACTGTCGTTGCAGGGACTGGAGCCCAGGGCAGCCGGACAACTGGACAGGGCATGGGCAAGGGGACGGGGAGGATTGTGTGGTGGTGACAGAGGAGGGGCTCTGGAATGATGACAGATGCTCTCGCGGCTTCCCTTGGGTGTGCGAGGTCACCTTGGACCCGCCCCTTGCAAGCCCCTCCCCCCAGGAGGCAGGGCCAGATGGGGCCAGGTCCCACTCTCCTCCCTAGCCCAACCACATCCCCTTCAAGAAAGGGAGAAGGGAGGGGGCTGAGTGACCTTGCCCCTCCCTCTCTGGCCATGCCCCCTTCCCCTGGTCCTGGGGAGAGGGGAAGGGGGGGAGCTGGTTTGAATTGGACTGGATTGGATGGCAATTTGCATATATTATCATAGGAGGGGGTGGATTAAATCCAGGTCACATTGGGGCTGGATCCACCTCTGGGTGCTCCCACTCGGGGACGCCACTAGGTTGGCCCACCTGGAGCTCTTGGTCCCTTCTCCCAGAGACCTGGGTCCCTTCTTGGACGCCTGGGTCCCCTCCCTGGACACTTGGGTCCCCTACGGCGGCAGCATAGATTGGGGCTGGATCCATGCCTGGGTGTGCCTACCCAGGGTCGCCGGTTCGGTTGTCCCACATGGAGCTCTTAGTCCCTTCCCAACACTCACCTGGGTCCCTTCTTGGACACCTGCGTGCCTTTATCCACCTGGACACCTGACTCCTCACCCCTAATGCCTGGGTCTCCCATGATAGCAGGTCAGATTGGGGCTGGATCTATCCCTGGGGCACCCACCCAGGGACCATGGTTCAGTTGTCTCACCTGGAGCTCCCAGTCCCTTCTCCCAGATGCCTGGGTTCCTTCTCAGACACCTGGGTCCCCTCATCCACCCGGATGTCTGGGTCCCCTTCTGGGTCCCCCTGGGTGCCTGGGTCCCCCATGACGGCCATGCTCCCTGTTGCAGGCAGTGGCAGCCAGGGCAGCCGGATGACTGGACAGAGCACGGGCTGGGGGGCGGGGAGGACTGCGCCCACCTCCATGACAATGGCCGCTGGAATGACGACCACTGCTCCCGACCCTACAAATGGGTGTGTGAGGAGGATGTCACGCTTTAAGGGAGTGGGGCCTGTGGGGGGGTAAGGCCATGCCCTCCCTGGCAGATGGGGTGGGGGGGTTCCAGGAGGCTGACCAATAAAGGGTGTGCAAAAACCAGTGGCGTGGCTGATGCTGGGAGGTAGGGAACACTGCGCTGGGCCACGTCCTCAAGAATAGGCCATGCCTCCAAGGAATAGGCCACACTCCCTGGAGTATCACAGGGACTCCTTGTGGGGCCATACCCCTAGGGATAGGACCTGCCCCCAGGGGTGGGCCATAGGGGCCCCTTGGGGCCAGATGCAGCCAGGGGCAGGAATCTGAGCCTGGCCACGCTCCCTGCTGTCTCACGGGGACTCCTTGTGGCTAGATGCAGCCACTTCTGGGGTGGGGTCCTGTGGAGTAGAACAGAGCCCCCACCTTAGTCCCACCCCCAGACAGTTCCTGGCCTAAGGCCTTTGCCCGGCTTCTTAGCACCATCCAGGCCCTGACCTTGACCATCCCTGCTTAGCATTCAGATGCAGCCAGCTCTGGGGTGGGCCCCCTGGGTGGAACAGGAACCCCTTCCCTGACACAGAGATGAAAGTTGGGGGTGGGGAGCCCTGGACGCCTGGGTTTCTTGTGGGGGGTGGGTTATGAGGGGCTGGGAGCCCAGACACATGGGAGTTTTGTGGGTTGGGGGTGGGGGTTATGGGAACCCTGGACACCTGGATCATCTGGGAAAGTGGGGTTTTGGGGGGAATGGGAGTCCAGACACCTGAATTCTCTGAGTGGAAGGGGGCTACTGGGGGCTGGGAGCCAGGATGCCTGGGTTCTCTGGGGTGGGCTATGGGGGGTTGTGGGGGAAATGGGAGCCTGGACACCTGGGGTTTTGGGGGTGGGGGGGTTATGGGAGCACCAGATGCGTGGGTCCTCTGGGAGGGAGTGCGGGGTTATGGGGGAAGAATGAGAGCCTGGACACCTGGGTTCTCG